GCAGCCAAATGATGTTGCGTGAGAAACCGTCGATGCATCCATTAATACATATCCCATATGGCTTTAGTTTGTCATAAGAGTCTATGTGCCACACAAAGTTAGGCCCCTGAGCAAAATATTGCCTCCTTCTGAGACGTCTGGTCTGGCGAACCTGGGAACCTACTGGGTCCAGTAAAGAGATGAGGATCCTGACGTCTTCTTTCTTGATCACAATGCCGTGTTGTTTGCACTTTGTAAACATCCACCGATAACCGTGATCCTTCCCAGGCCCTTGCAGTTGGTTCACAATAAAATCTATCCCGGCGTCCAGGTCGTACTTACGTCTGTAAAGCGACTTGGCTCTCAATATCCGGTTTAAATGTCTCTCCGTAATGATGGTTCCTTGCATTGCCAGGCTTTTCAAAATGCATTTGTAGCTCATTCCCAGCCTGAAATAAAACTCAATCAGACTGTCTCTGTCCATAGTGTATTTAGCCTACTTTTATGCTTGTGTCTCTACGCAGCTGTCCAGGAATTCTATCAATAAGATGTGCGCACGTTATCTATTTCGTGGCCACAAATGCGTAATTCGTTGCCACATTATACCCAATTCGTGCCCACAAATTAGCATTTCGTGCGCACGTTATACCTATTTCGTGCCCTCGAAGTAGTATTTTGTGGCCACAATTTATTTATTTTTTGTACCATGTCATCAGAGGGGCTCCGTACGTTTCAGTGCTGAAGTTAGACATTTTGTAGGAAGCGACTCATTTATGGAGTCAGTCTCAAGTGGGCATTTGAGGGATTGCACTTTTTGAACAATTCAGCTGAATTTCGTTTATACTGAGAGATTGCTGCTTGTGAACCTCCTGTTTAGTATGCAAGCTGACTTAAGAAAAACAAATAAAATCATAAAATAAGATAATAATAATAATAATAATAATAATAATAATAATAATAAAAAGATAGCACAGGAAGCATTTTTACATCACATGATACTTTATTATTTTACATCATTTATTAACATCAGTCTAACTACAATCATGTTTCCATCGATGTTGGGTGGTTTTCAATATCGCCACCTGAGGATCAGGAGGGTCTTCCAACATGCACTGCTGGATGGCCTAGCAGGGCCCTGCAGGGCAGGAATGTGGGCTACACACTCAACAAATAAACAGCTAAAATATGCACTGCATACAGTGTACACATCATACACCTGCTAAAACATCACAGTGAGCCACAGAAGACTAGGAAAGATGAAGTAAAGATGCAAAATATTTTTTAATAAAGTACAGTAGGACCTGTAGTATCTCCATGATTAGAAAAGCAGGCAATGATATGGATTAAAACACAAAAAGAGGAAGACTTTATATTCTATTAGATTTCATTGATGCAAAAATATATATAATATTTAGCAGTCAATCAAGAAAAGCACCAAAAACAGATTTCTAGCGCCTCATACTTTGATAGATCAATCCATTTAAATAATCAGTCTGCACTGACTGAGTGTGTGCATTGTAATATGTTAATATTAACAGCACTGCAATTTTCTTTTAAAAGGCATAAGAAAGTAACAACATGAGTAAAAAGCCATGAAAAACCACGGCAGATGATGGTGCACAATTCAAATACATCAATAAAATACAGCTGTACACGATGAAGGCAGCACTGGGTCCCTTGTCTCCCGTGTTAGTACAATACACTGAACAAAGAAGAAGAAGAAAAAAAACCCCAAGCACACCACCTTATCAAATTCCACTTCAACTTCACGCTAAAATCTTTTCTGCCTTCTGCGGGCCCCTCACTGTTTATCTAGCCAGTCTGCAGCCGTCACAACAATTAACATCACCCAGTGCACATCGCATCTTTTCAATACATGTCCACTGAAGTCCAGTCGCTGTGCAGCTTCGTGCTCTGCTTCGACTGGGGGGCCAACGGATGACCCGCGGGGGAGATGGAGCAGGGCGTTAAAGAATCATGTGAGCCTCGGTGACAGGAGGAGGGCAAGTTTGGATAGTTGCATTGTTACAGAGGGATCATTAAGACAGCCATGACCTCTCACCCCACTTCAGTGCAACTGTATGCCATTGGAGAAAACCTTTGCACACAGATGACGTTAGAAGTGGCAAGATATGGTGCGATGTTCCAGTTTGCAGTCCTGAAATAAGACCAATCTCAGAGCCAGACAGGTCTCTGCATGCATGTCTCCTTCTATTGTTCCATCAGTACCCTCCTCCTCTCTCAACTTTACCTCAAACTTCCTTTTAGCTTTCTAACGTTGCTGCACAGTCCAATTTCGAGCACTGCGGCTGCTGGACATGAGCCAAAGCATGACAACTGCTAAACCTTTCTAGATGATGTAACATTGCATTAAAATCGTTCCCGATTTCAAAACCTTTGTGTCCCTGCACTGGATCTGCATATCATTTTAATTTATTCTAGTTTACATCTTTAAAGGGAAACTACTATGCTTTTTTTCTTCATATTCTGTCATATAATTATGCTAAAATGATGAAATCCTCATATTCAGTTTTAAATGGTGCACTGTGAGACAAAAAACAGGCTTATCGCTGCTCTAAATGGCAGATATTTTTGCCTGTACAATGTCACAGGTGACAAAGCACTCTGGCACACAGCTCTCTGTGAGTGCAGAATCCCCACCCACCTGTTGTTTATGAACAGCAGCCAATCAGAAGAAAGAAATTCATCCTGAACCATGAATTAACCAAAGCTACTCAAGTAGAGACCAAGAATAAAAATATGTCGATGGAAACAAGCATAATAGGTCCCCTCTGGATAGGTTACAGGTGAAACTGAAATAGTGGAATCCTTGTATATAAAAATAAAAACATGCTGCAACATTAGAGGTAATTTATCCTCCTGTGACCTATCCAAGTACATCCTGCAAAAGGTCTTTAGCTTTAAAACATCAATAATAATAATAATAATAATAATAATAATAATAATGATGATGTGGATTCTACATTACATTTTATGCTAAATATAACTGTAACTTTAAACCCCTTCCAATCCAAAAACAGCAGACTGATTTGTTCTATCACATTAGTGCGATTAATCTTCTGTTAAAACACAACAACTGCACCACAGAGACTAATAAAGACAGCAGCTTCCTCCCAATTACAACTCGATTCATTCAAATTACCAGACAGGTGTACTATGAAGCAAGTTCAACATAGTCAGGCTTTCTTTGTGTTGGCTGGCTCAACAAAGCCTCAAACTGTGGTTAATCCAGACTGCTGCCTGCTTTATTCAGAGGTCAATAAAACCAACAGTGATGTTGCCAATAAGTCATAAGCTCAATGCTGAAGATAACTGTTAATTCTGGGATTTTATATGCAAATATATCTTTAGGTTACCATGACAGCTGCAACTTTAGTTTTTGGCCAAGCCAAAATGAGCTGAACTGATAACTGACTCTGCTGCAGACCAGGTTACGAGTTCACCATAAGTAGGTATAGAGAGCAAACAGAGCTTCCTTTGTAACACTGAAAACTGACTCTTCACTTCTTAGTACACCTGTCTGGGAAGTAAGAGGTGAGCATCACAGTAAATAGCAGCTGAGCCTCCACCATTTCTGAGAGTGACCACCAACCACTGTACCCGAGCTATAGCTTGGGGGAACAGATACTTTCCATCCTGAGAGGGGTGAGGGTGAAGCTGCCAAAAGCAGTGAGCCACACAGAGAACATTTAAAGGCACGGTGGTTATAGTGTCTAATGGAGATCACTGTGAGCCAGAGTAAAGGAAGCGAACGGGGTGCACCAGTGTGACACAGGTACATACACTCCGGGTCAATCAGGATGCGTGTATGTGCTATAGTAACCAGGCATGATTGTGCGTATTACACAGGTTCTATGTAGAAGAACCAAAGCTTAGAGTCAGCTTTCAGACTCTTTAAATTATAGGATGTCCGAATAAAACAAAGATGTATAAACTATAATATATAAATATCTCTTTATAGGCTACGACACTAAAGGTTTAAAGTGTGTAGATGGAAAAAAACAAAACAGTAAATCTTACAACTTTAAGAATGAAAAAAGTGACATTGTGGTACAAGTGGTAAAACACTGATGATTTTAGATATGTTGAGTATTTTACTGGGGAGGCACGTTCCCCCTGACGGTTTGGTAAAATCTCCAGGGCATTGTGTTGTAAACTTACAGTACCTCCTGTCTCCTTATAAGGATAAAAACATCACAGCGAGGAGATCAGAGCACTCTCTGCTGTAGCTGTGACCATGAAGTTTGTACCTGCAGCTCGGTGTGACTCTACCCTACACACAGCTGTAGCTACAAACTTTACATACAGTAACTGAAAAGACTGTAAATATAGAATAAATACCATTCTTATCAATATTATTTTTCCCCACAGCAAGCATCCCTTATTGGCTTTTGGTCTGCAACAGTCAAACCAAATTGTAAAAGAAAATAAAAACCGCAACCAATCAGAAACAGTTTGCTTACATCCCCCCTACATTGTGCTACACTCTAAAAACCTGCTTCCAGCATCAGATGTTGATGAGCAAAAACATGTTCTGACAGCATGAAGAAAGGAAAACAACGGAAGTGTGGACAGTGGTCACTGTGTGAGTTACTCTAAGAGAAGACAAAAGGGTCTAGCTGCATCAGTGGTTGTGCTTGTCGCCTTCAGTGAATGGCGCCTCCTTCAGGAAGGGATTGAAGGAGGAGCGGACGGCACGGCCCCGGAGAGGCTGCTGCACACGGAAGTTGTTCACCATGCTCTTCTGCATATCCTCCTCGGCTGAGGTGAAAAGAAGGCTCCGGAAGACAGCCAACTATAGGGCAAGAGAGTCAGCGGTAGACAGCAGAGATTTGTATCAAACTTCTTCAAAAGATAATATCTTTAGTTTTTGGGTAACGAACTGGGAATCCTGAAGCTGAAATGTTGCTGTGCTGGTTTTTATGGGTGTGGGTGAAAATAAACACACCTTCACATAAACCTCAACTGTCATCGGAAACCACTACTGAAAGTTACCTTGAAAGAACAGTTGTTCCCAAAACACAACAGCACATATCCAAAGGTTGGTGTGCAACTCAACTTAAAGTTGCACCGGTGATTCGTGCCCACCATGGGGCAGCAATAACTCTCATACAGCCATTTTCCACTAGTACCTGCTCGGGTCAGCTTGACTTATCTTAGTTTTTAGGGTTTCCCATTAGGTGGTATGTACTTTTTTAGTACCTGCTCGGCTGGGATTCCAATCGATCTGAGATGATCTGAAAATGTGACATCAAGAGACTGCATGCCACCGATTGGCTAGTCAGTGGCATCATGAAACATTAGAGCATCTCACTCACAAAAATCAAAAACCTGGCAACGAGGGAAACAGCTACACAAAGAAGCACTACTTTGGCAGCAGGTATGCCATTGCCTCAACGTCCTCCACTGTTGTGGTGTTAGTGTTGCATACAAATGACAGGACGTTTGGCCACAATGTTGTTATAACAACCTCAGACTCTATTGTAATGCCAAACATCCCAAACTGAGCCATGTTGAGTTGGCTGAGTAGGTACTAGTGGAAAAGGGTTAATAGTAGTCATGGATAGCACGTTAGCAACCAGTTCTACACATTTGGAACAGTGCTTATCCTCAATTTTGATCCCAACCCACTCAAACATGTGTTAATACAGTGTTCATTTACATCTCTGCCCTCATTTGTCTGTATTTGGTCTTAGGATGGACCACATCCTAAGATGTTAAACCTTTTAACATCTTAGGATTTTAACAGAGGAAGGTTTAACAGAGGAGGAAGGATTGAAAAAAAGAAAACAGACACCACCAATCACACTGCACATGAAACGTCGACCCATTGTTAACATTCTTTACTTTTTTGTGTTGTGATTCTTAAAAACATCGTTCTTACCTGCTCATGGCTGACTTCTATGTGCTGTTTCATAATCATCCAGGTAACAGACTCTGTCAGAGGAGGCGTGGTCAGAGAGCCGTGGTACGTCCAGTAGTCATCTGTGTTGGTGGGCAACAGACAGCCAGGGTCGAACCGGTTAAACTCTACTACACTGTTCTGCAGAAGACCAAAGAAACAAATATTCAGTTAAAGCTTGTGGACTTTGCATGATTCACACTTCAAACTGATCCTTAGTTCTGCCTGAAACAAGCCGTTTTAGCTCCTCTCCCTGTGAGTCAACATTTTTCTGGGTACGTCTCAAGTTCACAGCTTCCACTCACAGCCGTGTTGATATTAGCATCCGCAAGTGTAACAGTACAAGTATATTACAAAAAATACACAACAGCAGACTGGATGCACTCTGTGGAAAATTGTAAAATATTTAAAATCATTAAATGTTGACTATAATATAAATATATTTAAAATTTGTTTGGTATGTGTTACATAACATCTGTTATTTAGCACACAATTCTTATTATATTGTTGAACAAACATTCATATCAGACCTTATTAGTGATAAGCTGTGAATTATTAGTGATAAAAAACAAGGGGAAAATACAATCTCCAGTGAGTCACCTTCAAAAACTACAAGCAACAGTGTAAAGGAAATATAATCATATCTCAGGACAGGTCTATAATGACAGATCAACATGTTAAAATCAAGGGAAAAACTATATCACACCACCACCACCATTAGCAGCTTGAACTGTTAACACCACGCATTGTGGACCACGGATTCGTCTCATTATCACCAAATTCTGACTTGACAATCTGATGTGGGAGCAGAAATCATGATCTGTCAGGACAGTCTGTCGTCGTTTCAAGATGAAAACTGTCTAGGTGTGGTAAATGTGTGCCCAATATAGTCTTGGTTTCCTGTTCTAAGTTAACAGAGTACAGAGTGCTGATGCAACCGCCCGCTTTTGCACGCCACCCTCTACAGCTTTCCAACCACAGAATTGTAGTTTATTGAGTGTTTGTAATTTTCTGCTACACTCTCTGAACTAGACTGTTGTTCGTGGAAAAAAAGCAGACCAGAAAAAGCATCTCACCAATAATCAATAATTTCTGCACCAATAATCAATCCAAGGTTAAAAGCACTAAGCTCTTTTGTTTCCCCCCCTTTGTTTCTTGCCTGCATTCTTTTCATATAGCGAGCTGCTTACATATGCTACATTTATTAATGCACAGAGCTAGTGTAATTTACCTCATCTTCAGGTCCTTGGATGCAGTGAATACACAGCTACTGATTCAGTTTGACTTCAGTTCTTTTGACTACTTGGTGAAAAAAAAAAAATGAAATTCTCTGTGTGAAAGAATGCCTGAACCACTAGAGGGCACCACCTCCCTATAAACTGACAGGTACAGAATTGTTGGTCTGTGATGCTCTTTGTCAAAGGTAAATACACTTTCTCATTAAAGCAGAGAAAAAACACAACAGGTATACACACATATGTGTGTGTGACTAACCTTGTGTCTGATTGCAGGCAGAGCGTCCACCAGTTTCTGCAGCCCCTCGTGTCTCTTTCCCACCTATGCAAAGATTAGACCATAATCTGGATTATCGTCACTCACAAATCAGCTGGACGGCTGTTACCATTCTCTCACATAAACACACTGCTGAACGCAAATCAAAAGTAACCCAAAACATATGATTTTGGTCATTGTTTAAGGACTTGAAAGACAGTGTGTGATGTACCTTCAGAAAAACTCCAATAACCGCCAGCCCGTTATCCTCCATCACTGCCTCCTCAAACAGACTGTACTTGTCAGAGTTCCAGTGGACCAAGTGGAGCTAAAGCGGCACACAAAGCAAAGACATGAGTTTGTCTGTATGTGACCCAAACTGTAACAGCTATAATCCTTGTTTTCCTGTTAAATCCTTCCTGCCTTCTTATATTTTTATTTGACCTAGTGTAAAAATTACAGCTTTATTAATTGTATTAAAATATGACACAAAGATCCCATGAAGCTGTGACTCATAACTGCAACTTGATGCTCTGCGCGCGCACACGCACACAGTCACTGGAGCTTCTTACATAAGTGTGCGTGAATGTAATGGAACATGAAAATAGATGTTCTATATACAGGACAAATGTACGAGTCTGTAAACTCAGCTGCTGACAGACAAACACACACTTTGAGGTTTGAGTCCGAATTTGGCGATATAAAAAGAATTAGAGAAACACAGCTGGATGAAAGAACCACAGTTGTATGGCTTAAACAATGTAACCAGTTTTGCACAACGCTTAAACATTTGAAGAACAAACAATTCGAACAGGGTACATGAGTACATATAAAAGGACCACAAACTAAGGCAATATTTGCGCTGTTTCAACAGCACACTGTTGTTTTTTCCATTACTCCTCTCTGTTAACCTTAAGAACTAAAAACTGACTTATACTGAAGGATATTACATGTAAGATTACAAATAGTAAGCATAAAATATCTGCATGACTAATCTCAGTTTTAGCTATGGGCAGTTGGAATTGTTACAAATATGTTTTTTTTAAATACTTTTCCGTTAAATCTACGTTCTAGTTACATCGTAAGCACAAAACCCTCTGAAAACCTGCAATGTGGCCTACCCTAACCCAACACGCACTTCCCCTGGAAATACAACGACACGTCCTGCAGCTATCGTGACGGGCCTGTGCAGTACTGCCAATGTCTCTGATGCATTTGCAGATACGTTTTTCACAGTTTTTCAATCAAAAAAGAAAAAAAATCATAATAATTATCACCTCAATGTAAGGACAAACAAATGTCAGGTAGTTGTGGGAACTATTAATGTCAGGAAACATATGAAACGGAAAAACCTGTGGGACAAATATGTTCATCACCAAAAGTTAAAAAATAAAATAAACTGAGCAAACAAAGAATGAGGACCCAGGAGGGGAATAAAGTCCCAGGTTTAAATTTGTTTCCTCCATGGGGAGCACCACATAACAGAGAAACATGAGCACAAGATAACTGACAACATGTAAAAGTAGATTACGTCGTAGGCATGGATCTTCCGAGCTGTTCCACTGCCCACCTTTTAACAAGTGTCAGAGGTACAGACCCACAGACGCTCAGACTAAGAGGACCACCGTGACGCTCAGGTGTGCAGACAACTGCTAACTCAGAGCATGACAACAGGGAAAAAAAATTACATTTAGACCCAAGAAAAACCTGCAAGGGTTTAGTTGAAAATCGTTATTTTACTCGGGAAAAAATGTCAGAGACTTCATCTTAGTCGCATCTTTTCTTATTGGCCACATGCCACTGCGAGGAGACTTGTTTCTCTGTTTGTGTGTGTTGTATTAGCTATTAAATATGTGGGTTGAGCTTTAGTTATAACATTCTTGTGTACTACACTGAGAGGAATGCACTGAATGAGCAGCCTAACAACCTGAAAATAAACTGTACCTCTAATGAGCAACTCCACTTGTCTCTGAAAGGATACATTTACATTTAAACTGAGTGATTGCATTTTGTTTAAAGGAACATGAATTTTACAGGTTGGTGTCAATGTAAGAGCCTTAGGAGCATCCATTGTAGTTATAAAAAGTATTTTGCCGCTTACAAATAAACCTGGTCAGCTTTTTTTTCAGATTCTGTGAGAAATCTACATCATAACTTACGACTCCCCCATGCCGTCAGAGATGGAGGCTTTGGAACCAAGGACTGATAACAGGCAGGATATTCCTACTCCTCTTTAGAAACAAATTTTCCAGACCTTTAAAGACAGTTTATCACCTTTATTACGAGACATGTTCATTGAGTCATTGGTTTCAAAATGTCTTCCCCTAACGCTTCGACAAGCGACCATCTCACTCCTATTGAAGCCAAATAAGGATCCATTAGAGTGTACATCATATCGTCCTATATCACTCTTAAATGTAGATTTAAAAATACTGTCAAAAACACTTGATCTCAGGCTAGAGAAATATCTACCATTGTTAATTTCTCCAGATGAGACAGGTTTTGTGAAGGGTAGGCATGGTTTTTTCAACCTGCGCAGGTTTTTAAACATATTACACACCAAGTCAACTACAACCCCTGAAATTGCCTTATTACTCGATGCTGAGAAGGCATTTGACCGGGTGGAGTGGGATTATCTGTTTTATACTCTACATAAATTTGGATTTGGCCCTAATTTCATTTCATGGATTCAGTTACTTTACTCCTCACCTATGGCACGTGTTAGAACAAATGCGTTATTCTCTTATTTCCCACTTCTCCGTGGTACGAGACAAGGTTGTCCCTTATCCCCTCTTCTTTTTGCATTATCAATTGAACCACTGGCAATTAAACTGCGAGCTGACAGTTGCATTAAGAGCATCTTCAAAGGTGACCAGGAGCACAAAATATCCTTATATGCTGACGACCTCCTGCTGTATATGTCAGAGCCTTTATGCTCTCTTCCCCGTGCTCTTGCCATTTTTGAATGTTTTAGTAATATTTCAGGTTACAAGTTGAACCTGCATAAAAGTGAACTTCTCTGTGTCAACTCTATAGCCAGAAAGATTTCATTTTCAGATTTTCAATTTAACGTTAAATCAGGGTATGTGACCTATCTGGGGGTTAAGGTTACCCACTCATACAAAGATCTTTATGAAAGAAACTTTGTCCCGCTGCTTAAAAATACTGAGACAGATCTTCAGAGATGGAACAATTTACCACTGTCATTAATTGGCCGCATCAATTCTATCAAAATGAACATACTACCCAAGTTCCTTTATTTATTTCAATGTATCCCATGCTACCTACCCAATAAGTATTTTATAACACTGAATAAGCATATTCTCTGCATTTATTTGGAATGGCAAAGGTCCACGAATTCGTAAAGATTTCATGCAGAGGACTAGGCCATTGGGTGGATTAGCCTTGCCAAACTTTCAGTCTTATTATTGGGCAGCAAATATTCGTAATATGCTGTACTGGATGAGTAATGTTACTACAGAGACTCCAGCTTGGCTCCAAATTGAGTCATCCAATTGTGGCAAAATTTGCCTATCAGCTTTGTTGAGTTCAGCTCTCCCATTAGAACT